AGGTCGTTCTACGTGTAGATGCTGTGAGTGTGACCCCTAGTCACAACGTGGTCATGCAGGATTCCTGCAACTCTTCAAACCATGACTCAAGTATCTGCTAGTGACAGCAGTCTCACTAAGAAGGGCAAGTAAATGCAACTGAAATTAGGGAGGGCTCATTGCGGTTTTACAGATCACAATAATTCTGGCAAAGTTTATGATACAATCGGTGAAAGCGTACGGAATCTTGCAGAAGTCACAGACTTTACTACTATCTTAGAGCAGTCACAGTACATCTATTCAATTTTGTATTTGCAAACTTACATTATTGCTTACCAGCAATATTTTTAAATTAAAATAAGTTCACTTGGTTCAAAAACCATGAAATACAACTGTTAAATCAGAAATGTGTAGCTGTCATCTTAAAATTTAGGGGAAAAATTTTTCAAAATTTGAAAAACAATCTAATGCTATGAAAAAAATTTATTTTTATCTCAGTCCTTTAAAGATTATACTGTGTAAGTATGTAAATATTGGGAGCAAATATTAACATTTCAAAAATGGAGGCATCTTTGTTACATTGTAAGTATGAATTTTGTAGCCTGATACTTATAAATTAGAAAAAATTCATTATAATGTCGTGAAATAAAATTTATATTCTCTTAGACATTAATATTGTTCCTTTACTTCATATAATCATTACTTTCCAATGAGCACTCAAGTGAATCTAATCTTTACTGTTTATAACTGTATGTTACCTAATAATAAAATGTGTTCATTTTAAATTAGATGAATCAAAATTTTGTCTGATTTCTGAGCAACTTAGTAGACTTCAGATAAATAATATAAACTCTGTTCTCTCCAGGACTTGCACTGCAGGTCTATGTAGTTGGCATAGATGTCTCATAGTAATTGCTCATTTAGTAAATATGTAACCGAGATCCCCCCCGCCCCAGGTAGGCTCTCACAATGACTCTGATAAGACAGTGTGGTCTTTTCCCAAGGAACTTCCACTCTGAAAACACTGATGACACTGCTACTGAATTTATTCCAGTATCAAATATGTTGCTGTTCTTTGTACATACACTCAGTTGGCATTGAGAACTTTTCCCTAGTTTGTCCCAATTAGCAGGTCTTCAAAGTATCATGTTACTGAAATCTCAGCAGCTGATTTTTAAAAAATATTTATTTATTTATTTATTTGCTTGTTTATTTACGTATTCTGTACAGGGTCTCACTATGCAGCTGGGACTCACAGTCCTCCTCCTGTCTCAGCCTCCCCTGTGCTGGGATCACAGCCTCCGTCACCATGCCTGGTTTTAGTGGACAGCGAGGCTTAGGCCAGCATAGCCTGCGGTATGGGGGATGGATCCAGAGTCTGCGCGTTTGCCAGGCAGGCATCTAGGCTGCCAAGTTATCTCCCTGGCCCAACACTGATTTTAGAATCTCTGAGTTAACATAAAAGTGAGTGGAGAATATAAGTTGGTTTCCTACTTCATATGTAAAGCACATATAATTTGAACGAGTTATCAAGAAGTCTAGTTGTGATTTTACAGTCCACCAAGCACACTTTAATGTTATGCTACTAATGTGAAAGAACAAGGAATGAATTCAGCTCTCCACAATGAACATGTAGAGATAAAACACAGAGCAACACATTTTTCAGTGACATTAATAAGGTATGTGGTACACTAAGTCTAAACACTTAGTATGAACAAAATTTGTGCTAGCTTCCTGCTACGTGCTTTAACTGTAACTATAAAAAGCAGTTAACTCTTTTATTCTGTCCACATTAAATCAAAGTGGATGCCACAATTCATTAAACACAAAAGGTAAAAAAAAAAAGATCTTGACAGTTCTTTTGAATTGACCTCCAGTTTTCCCATACCTCCAATCTTCAAAGGCAAAAACCAGGAAGGTAAAGTCCTGATTATCAGTCATGGAAGGCAGATGGCAGGAGAAGTGGGCTCACTAATTTTATTCTTTAAATATCTTCTTTTTAAAAAATGAGTTCATTGTCATTGCATAAAAACAACTCCACCTGCTACACATCATAGACCACACTTCAACTAGGAAGTTATCCCAGGTTAAACACATAGTCCAGGTAGGGTTTAATCCACATACATGGTAATCTAGAAGCAATAGCATGCTTTCCTCCTCTTTTGTTGAATATGACAGATAGTTTGCTCAAACAGAAGCCACATTTACAAACAATGGATTAGAGAACCTTCTAGCAAATGAATTCTGATGGATGCTTGGTTGCATTTCTTACTAATTTTCTTATTATCGTGTTTCAGTTAAAGTGATGGATGCACTTACATTTTATGTGCATGTCTATTTTACTATATTCACTAAAATAAGTATTTTTACCTCATTGGAGTCAATTCTTTCTGTGTTTCCACATTGCTTGTCAAGGAATTCCAGAGTAACTCTTTAGCTACTAATATTCCTTTCCCTTGTGCCTCACTTCCTCGCTCTACGCAGTCATTGAGAGTCAAAGGTGACTCGTGCTCTGCCCTTAGCTCTCTTGTATCCTTTCTCCCACAGCTAAACATCAAATGACACAAGCCAAAACAAACAGGAAGATGAGTGAGCACAAGAATGCATTTCATTGCCCCAAATTTTAATTCTTATAACTCATCTTATTTACCAAGAACACTGGTAGCTTGTATTTCAGTTTAAATTCTTACAAGGTTTGTTGTTTAATAAATCATTTAAAAATCTATTTGCCTTCAGATATTGACACACGAATGTTTCTTAAAACATAGACAAAACACATGTTTTATAACTACAAACCAAATAAATTTAGTACCAATGCCATTCATCATTCTTCTTCTAGTGTTTCTGTGTAAGGCTGCAAGTGTTTCATGGCCTCAAAAATTGATAATCAAAAATGTGACCAAAATATATTTTGTAATCATTCACCCTATTTCAGGAAAATGAATTTCTATGAAAGCATACACTAGAAGCAACAGAAATATAATTCTGGGGCCGGGGAGAGGGCTCAGTGGAATAAGCGCTTCCCTGGCAAGCGCAAGGGCCTGAGTTCAGTGCCTGGTTCTGCAAAAAAAGAAAGAAAGGGAGCAAGCAAGCAAGCAAGAAAAGGTTGTAGTTTTTTAATATTGTCTTTATTATTCTAAAATCAAACAATTGCTGAGTGCAAAACATCTTCATTCATTTGTTTTTTCCTATTAAATGGAGATTGTTACATGCTCATCATTTAGTGGACTGAACTTTACCCCAGGTATCTGATGGACTGGAGGACAAAATAGGAAGAATTTTAGTACTAAAGTCAGAAAATGGGCCAGCAATGCACTTTAGATATTTAAAGTCCCTCTGTGACACAAAAATAGAACACAGCACTATGTCAGTCTGCTATGTATTTTGAGGTCTTTTAAGACAATGATTCAGTAAACAAATTATCAATCTTGTCTTGTAGTATGAATAAATTGTGTGAAGTGTTTAGCCCTTTCTTTCTAGTCCAAAATTTTTAAGCATAATAGAGATGAATACAAAGCCTGAATGCAAAATCTTTGCATGATTAATTAACAATTCCCATGATTAATTTGGAAATTAATCTTCTTCCACCATAGTGGCAAGGTACATTGTATCCCTGGCAGAAAATGAAGAAGATTTGTTAGCCTGTCTTGCAAGAAAATTATTTATTTATGTATCTTTTTTTTAATGTAGATTATGAGCTCCAGAAAGGTAGATACAATAACATATTCATCTAAATTTCTCCTGTGCCTGGCACATCATTACTTTATTACTGTCTTTGTAGTCAACAGAAAATGCTATGATATATTCATATATTTAAATTGGCATACATAAATATATTATATTCTTCCTTTTATGTGGGCTTATAAACAGTGACTGCCAATTATAACAAATGCCAATAAGTAGAATACCAAACAATTCTCTCAACAGAATGTAAAAGCAAACAAAGATATTAAAATAGTCAAGACTTTAAGGAGTATGACTGAAGTTCTCCCATAAATTCATTTATACATTTAGGTTTTACTGTCATACTTTAAAACCATGACTAATGTTAATTATTACATTTTAAATTACATACATTTATGATCTGACCTAACATGTGTCATACGTATAATGTCATATGAAAAAGAGCCTTTGCATGACCAAGTGCAAAGATGCATTAATGAAAATAAAACTGAGAATGAAGTCCAGATTCTCTGTGACTATGTGAAAGCTGCAACTAAGGGGAGACACTGGTGTTGCTGGGGACAGTAAAACTGGGCCAAGCAGTGCACCAAATAGTTATGCCTACACCAGTGGAAGTGAAACTTTAGGGAATCGTTTGAAGTGCAACTCAGAACTCACTCACTGCAAAGTGCCAACTTGGCCATTAAACCTGATTACTGAGGTCATACTTTAGAAACAAACAGCCCTTACATTAACATATTTTGTCTTCAAAGAACACCATAGCATGTGTGTCATGGCTTTGTCATTGCTCCCTTAAGGTATATACAATAGTAATAATTTCCTAGTCCTGGATTTCTAAATCAAAGAATTTAGAATCTTACTGAATGGGTAATACCTATTTGATAGCCACATGCCAAGGAAGAAAAGCTTGTATTTTATAGCATGTAAGTGAAAACCGTTATGAGACGTTGAACAAAAATACGGTCACCACAATATCTAGTTATGGTAGATCTAGATTAGCGGAGAATCAGAGGTGCTCCTACCCTCTACCTAAACGAAACAGACATTTTTTTCTACAGTTGAAGCAGAGTTATGCTGCTATAAGAGGTTAAAAACCAGAAAAAACCTTGAATGCAGAACATAAGACACCTCTGTATGGTATGGCCCACCACCCCACAATCAAGCTCAATATTACTACAGCACACCAGGCGGGATCAAGTTTACACATAAATCAACTCTGGTCGTTTGAGGCATGTTTTACTCTAAGTGCACTCAAGTTAGGTTTGTTTCCTTTCCACTGCTGCTAAGCTAGCAGGTGAGAAATGCCCCTCTGAGGAAAACAGAAGGCTGTTTCTTACCTTGGCACACAAACCCTCTTTCTTCATAGCCAGCGTCGCAGGAGCACTTGCCAATGGGTACGAGCCATTCGCCCTCTGTACTGCAGTACATCCTGGGAGGGTCTTCCTCCTTGGAATTGTTGACACAAGAGCCTCTAACCTCCACCAGGGACTGGGAGTCCACGGGCACGGTGTCAGGAAACGTAGCTAGATTCTTCACTGTAAATGGGCACTTCTTGAAGTACACTCTTACAGAAACCAGGGCAACACAAGCTCCGACGTCTTGAAAAGCCAAATAAAAACCTTTTCTGTTGACGGGACCTACTTCTCTAACCTCAGTGTTGAGTTTCAGAATGCGGTCCCCAAGATCCATCTGAGTGAAGCTTTCATCAGCTGCGATGGTGTCGATCTTCGTAAACTGATGCTCTCGGAACTTGACCCCGTGATCATCATCGGATTCCATGTAGTACAAGTTGAAAGTCTCCTTGCAAGTCCCCAAAACCAGGGGAATACTGTTGCAGTCCCGTAGCGTGAACTTGAGCTCCACGTAGATCTTCTGGGCTGAGTTCCTGGGGACCCAGTTTGTCCTCAGCCAGTTATTCTGACTGTGATCCATGACATTGCATACCTGGTAAGTCCTGATGGGCGTGTAATGTTCGTCAACACCACTGATCTCTTCCCACTGAAGAAGCAAAGGAAGTGGTAGAGGGAGAATTAAAAAATGAAGCATTATAAACAATAATAAAAGACCAGCACACCAAGAGCATCACAGAAACTGTAGAGCAAATAAACAGGAACTTCAGCGCTACTGACTTTGAAAGTGGAGCAGCTGCATAGCATTCTTGTTTGTAGTTTTTATCAGGGGCAAGGTTCTATGAGTGATTTGACACAAGGCAATTTATAATTTTTGTCAACAAACTCAGATTGTGTTGGCCTTTCCTGTATAACTGGGACCAAATGATGGCGCGTACTCAAACTCACCGAGATCAGAACCAGAGGTAGGTCCCCTCCCACAGCCCACACTGTGGCTCTGTTGTCTATGCACTATGTGTGTATGCTTGAGCAGAGGATAATGCCCCCAGGCTGGGCAAATTTCATGCATGGAAAAATGAACTGAATCTATATTTTGCCTTTTCATACTCTGGCTTCTCTTCAGATTGTATAAATCTTTGGCTTTTCAAATTTTGCCTTTGCCATGTATCTTTTTGTATAAATTTAAAGGTAGCTAAGTCATTTCCATTGATCCATGTTGGAGAACTATGAAAGCAAATTTAATTTATTTTTATTTTTAGTTATTATTATTTTTTAATTTATTTGATACAGGGTGTCACTATGTAGCTCAGACTCCTAGTGATCTTCCTGTTTCAGCCTCCCCAGTGCTGGGAATAAGACAGGCACAACTACACCCCATCTCTGTGGCAGGTTCAGTACACCTGGGGGTGGGGCTCGTGCAGCATGTGGATCAAACCCCTGTCCTTGCGCTTGCCAAATAGGCACTTAGTCTGCTGAGCTATCTCGCCAGCCCTTGAAAGCAAATTTAAATTAAGCATATAAGTATGCCATATTTTTCCCCAAAGTAAAAACTTGGAATTTTATAAGTAAAGCAGAAGACAAGATATGATATACATTTCAATTTTAGTTTTTAAGCTCATATTAGACCTTACATAGTTAAGAAGTATTAAAAAATGTATGTTTTGCTGCTTTTGTTGATACAGTATTTCAGATTATACAAACACAATATTTTCTCACTAAAATGACTTGAAATTTTCAAGCCTTCTTACAACAGTAAAGCAATACTTGTGCTGTTTTGTTATCCTTAGAGCAGATTTTGAGGTTTTAACTTAGCATTATTCAGTTGATATTTCATAAGACCCTAAAACCATTGCATCAGTTGTTTCCAACTGTCATCCCAGTGCCTGCATTTTCTTTCCATGATGTGCAATTTTTACCTTCTACTCAAAGAAAGTTACATTTTTGCAATGCTGTGAGCTCAAGGCTTCTGGACCTCCCTTTTCACCTATGCAGAAAGTTTGAATTTCTCTAGTGTGGCAATTGCATCTCTTCACACACTTGACTCAGTGTACATGTTAATTTTTATCAAAGTTTGAATCAAGATTAGTAATTACATATTTCACTTATGCATGGCCCACGTTCTTGGCAATGTGAATTCTTTTACTGTTTTCCAAGATTGTTGTTGGATCTTCTGTCCTTTATTCTGTGCATATGGGGTAACTCCCTTGAGCTATTCTTTTTTTCTGTTCTAGATCTTCTATAACCCTTCTGTCCTTGGTGAAATTTCTTTTAAAAATTTATACTTATTTATTTGCAAATATAATGCAAAATATGGGAAAGTTACTTTAAATTTATTTAATATACATTTGGTAAATGTTGACCTCTGTTTCTGTCATAGTATACAGCTCAAAACTTTATCTTTTGAGAAATGATAAAATATGACACATTTATTAGATGAGAGATTGTTAAATTATCATTAGAAAGTGTTTTACTTGGTAAATAAATTTACTGAAAAGCCTATGATAGGGGCTGGGGAAATAGCTCAGTTGTCTAAGTGCCTCCCTGGCAAGCACAAGGCCCCAGGTTTAATTCCCCACACTGCAAGTCTTGTCAGCCCTGGAACCCCAGGCATGCTGTGCCAGCCACCACAACCAAGTGTGGTGACACACCCCTATAATCCCAGCCCCAAGGAGGTTGAGACAAGAGGATCACTACAAGTCTGAGCTGCATAGCGAGATGATATGCCAAATGAATAAATAAATAAATAAGTTTTAAGAATTAAAGAGAAAAGCCTATGACAAATATGACCCTACATATTTCCCATTCTTTTTACCAACAAAACAAGTTTTAAACACTTTTATCTAAAGCAACACATTTAGAGTATTTTGACAATGTTTCTATTTGTGAGAACAGCATAGGAATTTCTATCTATAAGTTAAACAGAAAATAAGATAAAACATTATTGAATTTGGTGGTGATAACCACAAGTAAAGAAAACATGGCAACTACTTGACACTTGGGCTCTTCAGGGACAAATAAGTTATCTCAGGTTCTGCAATTATAAAAAAATGTGACCTGCAGTAGTGTGAGAAACACATTTAAAATTTTCTAATTCTAAATTACTAACTTAAAAAAATTAGTTTTAAAAAAGCATTTGTTTTATAATTTTTATTATACAGAATTTGGACTATAAGACAGAATTTTATGGAAACAAAACTGGCTTAACTTTATCATCAAACCTATGGTTGGCCCAACACAGAACAAACTGGGACTGACATTAAAAATTCTGAAATAACACACATGGCTCAAATGTATCTGTGTGTAAGGAAAGACAATATTCACATTGTACTTTCATTTTGTTTTGTTTTCTTTTGTTTTGTTTTGCCGTACCAGGGATCAAACCCAGGACGTTGCACTTGCCAGGCAGGCATTTATGCCACTGAGCTATCTCTCCAGCTGCATAGAATATGCATGTCTTGAGTTCTGATCTTGCATTATTATTTGAAGATGAGCCTTTTGCCTTTATGTTTTTAAAGTCAAGATTTCCTTATAAGAATGGATGAATTTAAATGATCATGAATCATTAACAAATTCATTTTTGTTATTAACAGCATTTTCCTGGACATCAAACTGAGCATATTATGTAAAGATTTTCATAATTTGATGTAAAATATGATTTTAATTATAGAGCTTTCATTGTAGTTTAACTCCGGCAAGCTATCACAAGCCTTTGAATACAGAGGTATAAATTGCAAGAAAATAAGGCAAACAACACAGCATTCCTTGCTCATAAATGGTTCCACTGAGCAATTATCACTTCATTAATTTGTAATGAAGTCCAAATTGCCTCTAAGTGATGGTGCCCTGCCACCTCCAACCACTCGCAAAAGCAGCAAGTCTCTGACTCTAGCATTTCCTCAGTACAAGAGGCAGCAAAAATAAGGTCTTTAAATTAACATTTTTTAGCACACCACCACAACAAGCATTCATTAGAAGCACTGTTAGAGTGATTTAAAGAATACTCAGATTTACCAGCTCTTCCTGTTCTCAGCAATGATGACCAGTGCTCATAAATTATTAGGGATACGAATTGCAATAGCAGTAGTCTTAAGACTGACTGAGAAAGAGAAAGTGGGTGACACAGAACTGATGAAAATACAGGATTTACAGTCCAGATTTCCACATTCTCCTCACTTTGGTAGGCCTTGAAGTAATCCCTGCGGTTCATTATCTTGAGAAGATAGTTTAGAAAAAACTCAAAATGCTTTCTAAAGCTTGGATTTCTAAAATCAGTAATTCTGAGACTGAAGCTTTTATTGGTAGATTCTAGAGGCCAGAACTTAGTACTTTTGTTGTTTCTGAATGTTGCCATTGCAGAGAACCCATGCATCCAACCTTTCTTCAAGAGGTCATCCTGAAATCCATTTCCACTAGCAAAATCACAATGAATCTCACCAAAGGAAGACTAGGGAGCCTAGAAACCTCACTGTTTCTATATTCTAGAGAGGGACAGTTCCTTATCACAGTGGTAAAGCATATATTGCTAAAAGAAATATACATTTTAATAATTAATTAATATTTAATTTAGTAACTATAATTCTAAAATGCCTCAATATTATTAAGAAGGGGGGCCGGGGAGATGGCTCAGTGGAATAAATGCTTTCCTGGCAAGCGCAAGGGCCCGAGTTTAATCCCTGGTTCTAAAAATAAAATAAAATAAAATAAAATAAAATAAAATAAAATAAAATATTATTAAGAAGTTATTTTATTGTTGACATAACTTCTCATAGAGAACATGTTTAGCTAGCTGCTGTTAGGAAGTCAGGGCAAACAGGTGCAAGTTTTCTTTAAACAGGGAGAAGCTGAAGTACATTTACAGCATTCTGGTATATTTGGAAAATATTAGTAAGGTGAGAAGAGATACTTTTTAAAAAAATTTGCAAATGAAAATAAAAAGAAAATAACCACCATTATATGTATACTTAGAATAAAAATTTTTGTATTTCAAGAAACAAGCTGTTCTATACTTCATTGAATGCTAATGACAATCTTCACTAAATTGTGATATTAAATTATTTATGTTATTGATTTCTCCCCCATATTATTTATTCCCAGGACTTTCTTTCTCTTATACACATGCATATTTTTGCAGATATTTGAGCATTTATTTAAAGCTGCATTATAAGTTACGAGGTGCACAATCTCACACTTTATTTTTTAATTTTACTTATTTTTTTTGTACAAGGTCTCACCGCACAACTCAGACTCAGTAGTGATTCTCCTGTCTCAGCCTCCCCAGTGCTGAGATTACAGGCATATGCCACCATGCCAACTTTTGGTGGCAGGCTCAGTGTGAGGGTCGGCATGGCATGTGGTACCAGGGATACAACCGGGGTCCTTGTGCTTTCCAGGCAGGCACTTAGACTGCTGAGCTACCTCCTCAGCCCAGCACTTCCATTTACAATCACAGATATTGCTATAAAAATCCCTAAATTTCCATTTGTTCATAGTTTTTTTACCCCATTTTACTCAAAAGTACACATACATACACACTTTAATATAAATATAATTGGATAATGTAAAAATATTGAGTAATTTAAAACAATGTAAGCAAAAGAGAAATAAAGTTACAGAATTTTGTTATTTGGTACCTACGATTGTCAAGTCAGA